TTCTAAATACATGGATCTTAAAAAGTAACTGTATTCAAATTACTTCCAGAAGGAAGTGCTTAAGTAGTTGGCTGAAAGAAAGACAGTAGTGCTGCCATACTAACGTGTCAGAAAAAGTAAAATCAGGGCTAGCCAAATACAATAAACGGGGTTTATGAACAAAACTGAAGGTAATGTTAGGAAAAAGATCAAAATGTAAATACAATTTCAAGAAAGTGATACTACGAGATTTGGAACTGTTTTAAAATTTTCAATACAATAAAAGTATCTATTCAGGGAAGCCCTCAATTCCCCAGGAAAGTGCAGGGGGATATTGAGGCTATTTCTGTGTTTAGAATAAAACCCCAAATCCTGCTTTACAGAAACTTTCCAATACTTCCCTTTCGGAAAGAGAAACTATCAAGATTACCAACATACAGTAATAGGCTAAGCTTTTTATTTTAAAAGCTAATGTAGTTTAGTAGCTAAAAATCTGGTTTGGGTTTTGTTTCTGTGGGTTTTGTCTTTGCATTAAATACCTGTAATTTTGAGTCCTGGCTCAACCATTTATTCGTTTTGAAGAATTAGTAACTTATCTACAACTCAGTCCCTTCCCCCATAAACTGGGTATGGTTACAGTGCTGTCAGAATCAAGTGCAATAATTCTGTGAATCACAGTGCCCAGGGCACAGTAAACACGCACCAAATATTTGCTCTTATTTTGTTTTGATGATGGTGATCAGCACATTATTTTAGTAATTCCTAGGAAAATAACGTTTCATAGTTGCTGGGATGAAAATGGCGAGAATTTTGAGCCCTTTCTCCACTATGTGTCTGCTCTCCTGCCAGCCTCTCTTCACGCACACTCACACCTACACCCTTTCTGCATCCCTGGGGCACAGAGGCTGTTGTGAAAGTGCAGTGCCTCGCACACTGTGTGGGGCGGGGCTGGGATCCCCACTGTGTTAGAACCTTCCTGCAGTCTGGTCAGGCTCTGATGATCTCTGATGTTGCCCTGGGTTCTCTGATTAACTTCTGCTTGGTGGAGAAACATATTGAGAAACTTACCATCATATCTCCTACAGATAAGAATCCTTGGAGGACTAAAAACGGTACTGTGGTACAGAACGCTGATACATTAAAAATAGTAAGAGGAGGAAAATGTGTTTACTGAGACAATGGTTATAATAAGATACCTCACAAACACAGTTATAGTCGCTATGCCTATTGGTTTGGTCATGATCTGATAGGAGGCAGAAAAGAGCTAAGGAAAAGGGTGGCATAGCCTGGAGGGATTCTATTCAGGAGTTAGGAGACTTCAGTCCTCCCTCCAGGCCCACAAGGCAAACAGCTGAGTTTCGGGCAAGTCAGTGAACAGCAGCCAACAATGCACTTCCATTTCTTCATCAGTAAATTTCCTTTTTGCTCTAAAGTTTGAGGATTCTACTTATTGTTACCAGTCTGGCTGACCCAGGAATCTCACAGTGGATCACAGTGCGTCCACATCACTGAGAAGTGGCATATGTGTCACTCACCGTTCATTGATCAGAGCAGTGGCCGTGACTTGACGGGCGGGAATGTTGAGGTGGCAGGGCTGGGGTGAATGGGAAGATGGGAGGCACAAAGAAGAAGGAGAGAGGGATAATGGGGTCACTGACACTGTGTGAAAGCAGCTCATATCTAGTTATTCTGCCTTAAAAGTCTTTCCTGGGCATGTCTAGCTCTTGTAGGGCGTTTTCATATTACTATCTCAGAGTACCCTTCAGGAGAAAAATATAAGGGGATAGAAAACACACTGAAATAAAATATTTCTAGTAACCAGTATTTTCAGCTGAAACCTTCTCCACGCAGACTTCCGAGAATCGTTTCCCAGGGTCATCAGTTTCAGGCAGGCATCTTACAACGTGTGGAGAATGAATGGTCAGCAAACCCACTTCCAAGGACAGGGAGGCCCGACCAGCCCACAAGCTCCTCACCGGCAACAAGCCTTTGCCTTTGAAAAAGGCGGTTGTTTTGACCTTTTCTACCCTTTTTCGATGCGCTAACATCAATATTATGCACGGAGTATAAACGATATTGTTTTACTCTTTGCGCACTATGCCCACCCTCCCTTCTAATATTTGGGTTGTAATATTTCAGCAAAAAGAGTGAAAGGCATTTTCCTCGCAGCGTCTATATTCAAAGGCACAACATAAAAAGCTGAATCACAACACTTCGTCTTCGCCCAGTGGATTCCTGCCTTCTGAGGGGAGTTGGCGGTAGTGAGGGAAGCAGAACACCGGAGAACCCGCTAGGCGAGGCCCTCTCCTTGAGCTTCAGACAGGACAGCACGGCCCCAGGAGGCACCTCCTCCGCCGGCGGCAGGCGGAGACCTTGAAGTAACACCTGTGCTGTTCCGTCCAGTGGGCTGGAGAAGCGGACCGACCGCTCGCTGGCAAGGACACTGACCGGGGAGGCGAGGTCGCTCCCCCTGCCCCTCCTCTAACCACTGTGGATGTGCTCTCTAACCCGAGGTCACTGTGGAAGGATGACACCGAAGGTCCTCCCACGTCTGAGCCGCTGCTCCTCGCCGGGTCGGTTTCTCAGAAGCTTCAGGGGCAGTGGCTTCATCCACACCACGGTGTCACGAACATTAGTGCTGTGCCCCCAGGGAAGCGTCCTGTGGGAGTAAGAGCTGGGTCTCCTCCGGGGAGACGTGTCCATGTCCGCTGTCCCGGAACTCTCTGCCCGGCCCGGGCGGCGGCGCCCGCGACGGAAGGACCTGCCCTGCGCGGAGGCGGCGGAAATTTGAAGGAGAGACCGCTCGGTTAAGAGGAAATGGTTTTCATTTTCCTGCCTGCAGAAAAAGACAAGATGTCCAAGCTTAAAGCGTGCACACGAGTCCTTTTAAGTCTCTAGATCTTTCACCCTGAAAGTCCCCGCTCGGAAACTCCGCAGGGAGCCTAAGAATAGCAGCGGCGACGCCCCCGCCCCCGCCCCCGGGGTCCCCGCGCGCTGGGACCGGAGCGCGGGCTCCGGGCTGCCTCTGCCCCAAACGCGGGCGCGGAGCGGCGCCCTCGCACCTGCACCGCCGTGGGCCGAAAGTGTCTCGGGAACGCTAGAGAGTGCGAAGCGGTGCTCGGCGCACGGGCAGCCCGAGCGTGAGCGGCTCCGAGTCGTGCCCGCGCCGAGGGGCTCGGGGGAAGGAAAAAGGGAGGCAGGGTTCTGCCACGGCCAGGAGCCGGCCGAGGGCTTCACGCAATAATAGAAATGGCAGTGACAAGTAACAGTAAAGCCTTTAGATGGAGCCACTGCCCGAGGCAGGAAGGCGCTGCCGGGCGCGAGTGCGGGAGGAGTTGGGAGCTTGTCCATCTCGGGGGCGGAGACAGCTGAGGGAGACTTTGGCCTCAAGGCTTCCTCGGTTTCGGCTTCTGGAAGGGAAAGGCACACGGAGCGACTACTCCGGCACCATCTGCTCTGGCTCGTGGGGGAATCTCGCTCTTCCTTCAGTTTAACTGGGTTAGAGCTGTCTTTCGTATTTGGGGGAGTGGGGGTCCCCTCTGTGGGGAGAAGTCTCCGAGCCTGGCTTCCTTCCCGTCCGCTCGCGCCGACGGTGAGGTGCGACCGCTGCCGGGGGAGCCGGAGGCCGAGGCCGCCGCGTGTCGGAGCCGGGGTCCCCCGTGCCAACTCGCGACACGTCTCTCCCTGCGGAAGTCACAGCAGACGAGGGGACCCGGAGAAGCCAGTGTCCCGGGCTCTCCACCCTCTAGGGCTTTTCTCCCCACCCTGGGGCCGCCGCCGCCACTGCTGCCACTTCGCCGTTTTATGACTTTCTGGGACTTAAATGGAAATTTCTTGACAGAGGGAAACCGGTTCGTTCTCGCGCGCTCGCGCCGTGGTCGGGCGGAGCCCCCGGCACTCGTCAACCGCGGAGGAGCCACTTCGGAGTCTCTGCGGCGCCCCCACCCCCTCCGCCGGGCGGGGGAGGATGCCCAGGTCTCCGCGGGCTCGCCGCCTGAGGCTCGGATGGAAAGTCACAGCCCGCAGGCGGGAGTGAGCCACGCGGAGGTGCCGGGTGTCCGCCTCCCCGCCTCGGCTGCCGGGTCCTGCGGGTCTGCGCACTGAAGTGCCAAGGACCCCGTGTCTTCACGGACCCGCGTGCCCGCCCCGGGCCGCCTGGTACCTGAAGGGAAGGGCCGGGCAGGGCCGTCTCGATCACACCCCTCGCGGAAGGAAGGCAGGACCCAGCGCGGCCGCGGAGCGGCGGAGAGAGCAGCGACCTGCATCTCCAGTTTCTCCCCAGGGCAAGGGGCGGACTCAACCTTCCGGAGCTCGAAAGCCCCAAGGAGAACCGAACGAAACTCTCGCCTCTGAGCTCGGTCTCCTCCCGGGAGGGCCGCACGCCGTCTGGGAGTGGAGCGAGGGAAGAAGGGGGAGCCTGGGTTGGGTGTGCGTGCGTGGGAGCGCGCCTCGGAGCGCCCCGCACTCCCCGGCGCCAGCCCTGGGGGCGCTTCGGAAGGAGCGAGCGGGAGCCGCGGCAATCAGAGGGAGCAAGAGAAGCCCTCTCCGAACGCCCCACACCGGTCCTGATTGCGAATTCGGAGCTGAAGGCTGCTAGAAATTAGGACTCTGCCTCCTGCGCGCCCCTCCGCCCGGCGGTTTGCTGGCGGCTCGCGCCCCGCGCGGTTCCAACGGAGGTCGTGGGCCGGCGGGCGCCCCGTCGGCCGCGGCTTCTTGCTCACACCCTGCCGGCGCGCATGAGGCCGCTGCC